CCCCTTGGGGGGGGGGGGGGGGGGAGAATTTCACTTTTGTGACGCAGATGCAAGACAATTCCAACACTATTTAGATCAAGGCTCACGCATTCAAATTTTCTATATCTAGTACAGGCAGGTGGACTCCAAATCAAATACACAAAATAATCTTTGTTTTAGAAATTCTGGCACACAATCCAATCGATACTTTCAAAATCCATAAAGGGAACTCTTTAAACAGCATGGTCTGACGTGCAACAGGTCATTATGATTTTCATAATCTGGGACTCTAGCTCATAATTCCTCTTTATGCTACGTGACAAGAGAAACCTAAATACATATGATGGTTGGAATGCAAGTCAGGATCCATAATAAGACAGGCTAATCGGTAGATTAAACTCAACAGACTAAACTATTTATCTCACATCTGCCCATAGACGGTGTTGAGAGTGAAAGTACAAAAGAGCCAAGTATCTGCTGCTTGGCGTCTGTATTCTAGATGAATGATAGGACAAGCAGGCATCACTTTTAACAGCTTCACTGGTTAGAAAGTATACTTTCACATGCACAAGGCACAATGTTGCGTACATTTCCCAACTCTCATCCAATAAACATAGCTGAAACAAGGTTCCCGAAACCTACTTAATGTCACCTGCGTGAGAAAGCAAAACCAAATCAAAGGGTATTCTGTGTACAAAAATATTACTTCTCCAACATAAACATGCATTTTTCAACCAAATTCAGAGTCAGGGCAAACAAATATTATTTACATAACCATATTAACAGTCAACCTGCTGTAGAGTCCCCTACCTAGGCAAACACCACTTCGTACACATTTTCTATGAACAATGATAAGAGAAAGCTCACTTACACAACCGTAGCTTTTCCAACCTCACGACAGTGAACCTTCCAAAACACAATGCCAGCATCATCAGCCTTCTTAGTGTCAACAGCAATAGCCCCAAATAACGCCCTGAAAGCACTGCAAACCACTGAGGGAGTCGTCGAATTAGTTTTGGGAGAAACTCTAACGACATTGTGCAAACCCAATCTCATCCCATCAACAGCACATGAAGTGTCCACTTTAGAGTTATCTGCTATCCGGCGGTTAAGGTCTTTCGAGGAGATCTCAGCGTCCTTTCCTAGGTAATACATAGAGACAGATGTGTCAATCACATTTGATCCCAGAATGCTCAACGCCTTATTGTTCTCCTCGGAGAATGATGAGTGTGTCATTGATCGGCGAAGATAACCAATGTTCTTGAAGGCATAGCTGCAAATTTAAGAAGCAAAGCAATGATAAATCTTTTGGTCCACCGGGAAATAAGATACATTCAATCAATAAGATAAAAATGAAAAATGTATAACACTATGGCTACTAGCTATACATTTAGCACAAGCTATGGCTTTTTTTTTCCTGACTTAATCCTTCGGGTCCAATACAATAGCAAATATATTTCATTTGAAGATCCCAATTTTACAGTTGACCAAATACAGTTCTATGATAGAGAAGGCAAAAGGGAAAGGGAACCCAAAAAACTTACCCGATCTGACTCTGCAGCGTGTCCAGTGCCGACTCAAATGGCGATAATTTGAGCTTGTTTGCAGCTCCAACCTGCATAGTAAAATGATATCTTTCCAGTTTCATTCCTTCTCTTCTACATTATAACAACAGAAACCAAGCAAAACATTTTGGGGTTTCTAACAATAGGGTTTCGCCCAAATAAATATACCTGTGAGAGGGAGAAGATGGAAAAGACGGCTAGCGCACAGACAGTGATGCGAGAAGAAGCCAATGTTTACTTTTGCGATCTCTTGAGGCTGGTTGTTTTGAGACTTCGCTCTAGGGCTAATGGTTGAACTGGGATGTCAGATGTCAGATGTCAGATTGTTGTCTATGGGCCCTTTCTAATGTTTTGGTATGACCTTTGCGTGGCCCATTATAAATAGTCAACAGTTAGTGAAATCCTAGGATGCCTAGAAAAATGCAAATCCAAAATGAGTGAAGAATGCCACGCGCCATGCAACTACCGTTTTTTCAAATCCCTGCAAATAAATCATGTTTTATATCTCATTATTAATCTTCAATAAAACGTTCTAATTAAGGTGGGAGAAAATAAATTCTAAGGAACCTAAATAGGGTGTTTCTTATAATATGCACATTTTGAGTGGTGATTTCTTTTTTTTCAAGATTAATAGCCAATAACTTTTGATTTATTAAAAAAAACAAACAAAGAACTAGGGTTAGAAAAATGGGAAACTAGATAGTGATTCTAAAATTGATGCATAAAATTTACTTTGGTTCCTTACTTTTCAATTGATATATTGGCCTTTTAGTTGTTAAATATTTGATTTTAATATAAAATTTGATTATTTTCTTTCGAGTTTTTGGTTTAGAGATAGATTTTAATTAAAAAATTTTTTATTGATTAACACTAATTTCAATTATAAAAAAATTATTATATACGTATTTTATTTGATAAGATGAATTTTAATAAAATATTTTTTTATTTTTATCTTACTTAAAAAAATAGATTTGAGCTCAAAAGTTATTTAGATTTAATCTTAATCCTTTAACCTATTTTTTTGGTTCTTCAAAGTCATGCATGAGTTTATTTAGGTTTCTAAGATGATTTTTAAGTGTTTGGATCTAAAAATACCTACCCAAAGATTGTGTATATCTTTTTTTTTTTAATTTTATTCTTTAATGTTTATTTTTTTTTAATTTTTTTATGAACTTTTAATTTTTTTAATTTTATAATTCTACATTTGATTAATTTTTAATCTATCTTCATAATCTATTTTGATTTAATTTTATTAAATTTATTTTTATATAACTAAATAAAAGATGATTTTAATAACCCTTAACTTTTTTTATTAAATATTTTTTTATTTTATATTTTAATATTAATATAAATTTCACAACCAGTTATAAATTTAACATATTAATCCAACTGTATTAATATTTATAAAAGATCTTGTAAAATACAGATTATGAATTCATAATCATTTTTTTACCTAAATCATGTACATTGAATGTTAAATTTTAATTTAACAGTTCAGACTTAACAGAACATGATGGCACATAATAAGAAGAAAAAAACATTAAAGAATCTCCTTGCTGAAAACAAGATAGACAAGTATGGCCTCCTAAAGAATGCCTTTCTTATATAATAAAAAAACATGTATACAAAAAACCTAAATAGTTCTCTTATCAGTAAACACTACGTATGATGATGAACATCTGAACCTGTGAACTACACAGTATCTACACCCCCACCCCCCCAGCCCTCATTTCCCTGCATTTTTTAGGGTAAAAAAGATAAAATGTATTAGTCATGCTTGATTGAGACCACAAATTCTTCATCATCCCATCTTGCATCATGCAAAGCACCAGCATCGATCCCCACACAGCATGCAACAGATGAGTTAATATCAGAAACCAGCTTCCGGCGAAACCTACTGTATAGAAACTAAGGATTATCAAAACAAGCACCCTTCTTGCACCCAACCATACAGACACCAAGGTGCTTGTTCAGCCGGTGTCATTGCATGGAAAGGGAAGAATCACGGTTCCTTCCGTACAACATTATCGAAAGAAACTTGTGTTTCTGTGTTACTCAAGTTTGATCTTGAAGCATCAGCCAAGCATTGAAGCAAAGCTAATACATCAACAGTATCATCTAGATAGTATCTAGCTTTGCTTGGCTTTTGGCCAACAGTGCATGCAAAGATCGCTGGAGCTGAAGGGAGTGATGAGCTATATGGTGTTTTTGATATGCTTTCAAACATGTCTTCATCAGATCTGTCATCCCCGATGCACAACACAAAGCCAGGGGGTTTCCCACTAGCAATCATTTTGGAAAGAACCTTCTCTGCAACATACCCTTTAGTTACTCCCTGCACATTTTTAAGGTCAATGTTAGACCACTTTCAAAACAAAAAAGGAAAAAAAATCAGAAACAAACCATAAACAAAAAGCACGCATACCTGTGGTTTTACTTCAACAATATTCTGGCCCCTCTTAACAGCTACTGGATCATTTGCAAGGACATTTTCCAGATGATCTAACAGTTCCTTGGCCTGGCAAGATCCAAAATCTGGATCAGCATCCTGGTGGTGCCATACCATGGCACTCTCCTTAACCTCTATATAGGAACCATCAGTTGCCTCTGTATACAATTTCATGACAGGTTCGGCAATATTTTTCCAATCAAAATCCACAGCCAAAAAACTTGTTTCCCAGTCAGACATCCCACTCCACCTACGAGAAGAAAAGGCAACATCTTACAAAAAGGGATCCTACCAAATTAATAGAAAACCACTAGCTTCATTTACTAATATTGCAGCCACCTAAGAAGTGGAGAAGTTAACTTTCCTTGAATGACTCCTGTGTTTGAACCTTACAAGCTCCATTTAATAGACAAAAAGTTAGCCTTGCTAGCAAAATTAGTAAGCTAGACATTCAATGTTTTAATAACTATTAAAATACCTCAAGAAGTATCCATGCTCAGCTGCTATACCCAGATTTTCACATTGAACAAACCAATCACTCAGGGACTTTTTTCCTCTGCCACTAACTATAAACACACTGTTCATGGGATCAGCGCAAAGATTGTTTAGAATAGAGATGACTTCAGGAGTGGGGGTTTTAGCAAGAGAAGTATGAGGCACCATTGTTCCATCATAGTCCAAGAATATTGCCCTTTTAGATGTCCTCTTGTATGCTGAGATAATATAGTCAATGGAAAGTTTCCTAAAGCTAGGAGAGAGTGATAAAATTCTGAAATTCAGACCGAAGCCAATACCCCAGCAACGTTTGCTATAATGATCTTTGCATGCTCGCTTCAAATCCTGCATAAAACTGCAGGCCCAATAAGCTACATCATGGGAGCTAACATAGCAATAGTGCTTTCCATGCCGCAACTGCTTCTCTAAATCAGGCATGTTGATGGCAGTATCCACTGCATTGGCTACAGCTTCAATATCCCATGGATTTACTCTTATTGCTCCACTTAATGATGGTGAGCAGCCTGTAAACTCTGATACAACAAGCGAGCTTGTATGATCCGACCCAGAGGCAACTCCTAAAGCTTCGTCCATCTTTGGTGTCCCCTGCCTGCATACAATGTACTTGTATGGGATCAAGTTCATTCCATCCCTTACTGCATTCACAATGCAGCATTCAGCCAATGCATAGTAGGCAGTTTTCTCACAAAAGGGAACATGACGATCAATCAGGACCACTGGTTCATAGCCTGGAAAACCAAAAGTATCATTTATCCTTTTGGTAATTGAATATATCTCCATTTTTGCTTCTTGCACATCTTTCCCTGAGCTCCTTGCAGGATTAACAATTTGAACCAGGACTAATTTTCCCCGCAACTCAGAATTCTGCAGCAAAAGATGCTCTACAGCTAATAACTTCAGACTAATGCCCTTGAATATGTCCATATCATCAACTCCAATGACAAGCCTTTTCCCCTTAAACTGTTCTTGGATCTCTTTGACCTTGATGGAAGAAGAGGGGTGATTTAGAGCAGATTCAACTCGACCCATATGAATCCCCACAGGCAAAATTTTTATGTACACTGTTCTGCCAAAATACTCAAGACCAATATGACCACGTTTCGATTCATAGTCTAGGCCCAACATCCGGCTGCAACAGGATAGAAAATGTCGAGCATAATCAAATGTATGAAAACCAATCAAATCAGCATTCAGCAGCGCTTTCAGAATTTCATCTCTAACCAGCAGAGTCCGGTAAATTTCTGATGTTGGGAACGGGCTGTGCAGGAAGAAGCCAAGCTTAATACGATTGAAACGCTTCCTCAAAAAAGTAGGGAGAACCATCAGATGATAATCATGGACCCAAACATAATCTTCTTCTGTATTATTAATCACTTCTGTGACCTTATCTGCAAATATCTTATTAGCAGAGACATAGGCCTGCCAGAGCAATCTATCAAAGCGATTGCCATGATCCAAAGACAGAGGTAACATGTAATGGAAAAGGGGCCACAGATGGTGCTTACAGAAATCATGGTAAAATTTTTTATAAATATCAGGAGGAATAAATGTGGGTACGCAGTTAAATTCCTCCAGCAGTTTTTGAGAAACTTCTTCTTGGTCACCTGAATCAACATCGACCTTGAGAGACCCCACATAAACAACCTCAGGAATGGCCGAGAAGCCATCCTTCATCTGTAACAGAAGCGAGTCCTCATCAAAACTGAATGACCATTTGCCAGAGTTTAAATCCTTCTGAGCATTCAGAGGGAGAAAATTTGACACTATAATCATTTTTGCACAGCTTCCAGTTGATGGAGCATCAGAAATGTCATCATTAGTTCCATCAACATCCATGTCAGATATTATTCCTGGAACAGTCATTATCCCTGGAAGGGATCTAGGAGCCTGACTGAAATTCATCATGTTCCCTGATGCAAAGTCTAATAAACTTATGCAAGATCTCGACACCATTGTTGTACGATAATAGTATTCTTGTTCCTGGATATTGAGTTAGAAGAACAGATATGGTGCAGAATCAACACCTTCCTACCAAAAAGATCTTGAAGGAGTAGTGCAACTATTTAAGAACTAGAGACCTGCAGGGAAAGGGGAAAATGTATTTAACTACCACATGATGAGATGAGCCATGCTCAGCCTTGTAACAACCAAACAGAATACAAAGCGAATAAAAGATAAATCCGTGGACCATAAATCATTCATTTCTGATGCCCTGTATATGCATAAATATTATATGCAGTTGCCAACAAATAAAGGTCCACCGTTTGCAATAAGATCTTACACCTATCACAAGATAAAAATCAGGACAAAGCAAAGGCCTG